GAGTTGCCAAACATCAGCCACGAAACATTAATGACTTGGAGAGGATCTGCAAAGAGGAGTGGGTCAAAATTCCCCCTGAGATGTGTGCAAACCTTGTGGCCAACTACAAGAAACATCTGACCTTTGTGATTGCCAACAAAGGTTTTGCCACCAAGTAGCAAAGCACGTTTTGCAAAGGGATCAAATACTTATTTCATTCATGAAAATGCAAATTACTTTATAACTTTTTTTGTAATGCATTTTTCTGGATTTTTTGTTATTGTTATGTCTCTCACTGTTCACATAAACCTACCATTGAAATTGTAGACTGATCATTTCTTTGTTAGTGGGCAAACTTACAAAATCAGCTGGGGTTCAAATAATTTTTTCCCTGACTGTATATCAGGTAATAGGTCGATTTTGATTCAGGAACCCTTACTTTAATACACATAACTTTGGTCAGGAGAGGATTCCTCTTCACAGTTCTGAGCACTTTTAGATGAAGAAGTTTTATGAGGATATTTGTTAACGCTGGTACAGATATAAGTGAACATCTTTTACATGTGTTACCAGAGTCATCAGAGTAATGTAACGAGTCAGCCTCACCAGCTCTTCAGAGGTGAGGTGTGCCAGCCTCTCACAGATGAGGGCTGCTTGCTCATCGCTCATCACGTACTCCCCTCTCCTGTCACCCATCACCAGCTCCGGCCACATTGGTCCCTCACTGCGCTTCTGCAGGGTCACCTCCAGACTGAGGACACAGTTGCACAGCACATACAAATAAACGCAGGTTCCTTCTCATTCACAGTGTGGATCATCAGGAAGTCATATACATACAGGTGACAAATGAAAGATAAACCCAACATAAAGTCTGGGCCACCAGAACAGCTTCAGTGCACCTTGGCATTGATTCAACAGTACAAGTTTCTGAATTATACTGGAAGGATGAACACCAGTCTTCCAAAAGATATTCCCTCATTTGGTGTTTTGATGATGGCGGTGGAGATGCTGTCTACAGATCAGACAGTGCACTTAGAAAGAGAATGATGCAATCAACCAGTAAACATCCAATCAGGACAATGTAGTGGGCTAAACTGTGGTGTTGATGAGAGAGGCCAGTGGAGACCATGCAGGGTTACTCAGGCTGACAGAACAGTGGCCGATCTGGTTTTGCCAGAAGTATTTGAAGCTGAGCAGCAGATTAAATCAAGGAAAAGGAGACCAAAAAAAAAAAAAAAAAAAAAAAAAAAAAAAAATCACAATATCGCCAAATTCAATTAGAAAATCACAAAAAGTGGCAATTTTTGAGAGGTAACAGTCTAAAAATGTTACTCTGTGTATTGCTTAAGTGTCAATAATTATCATTATTCACTAGTCATTATTACAGCAAAAATGCAACAAGTTTCAGGTTCTCAAATGTTAGAATTTCCTGCTTTTTGTAATTTGACGTGGTAGTAAATTGAATATTTTGGAATGTTGTTCAGAATAAATAACACATTGGAAGAAATCACATTGAGCACAAGCATATAGCTGATTTTTTTAAAATGTTTTATTGATGAATCGATTAATTAATTAGAAGTAAAGTGATATTTGAATTTTAGTCACGGTTAAATCAAACAAATCTCCTGTCATTGCTAATTTATAAAAATGAAATAAATGCAACAACTATTTTAATTGAATTCTGATTACTGGTAACAAATAATCTGAACAAACAGCTCATATTATTCATAGGGTGCAGCTGTCACCTCTGCATAATGTTATTCGTTCTTTCCACACATAAAAACACTTGATCAGGCTGCAACAGAGGGTGCAAAACGAATTCAATAGGCAAGTGAGCCCATTCATTAACTCTTCACTCAATTATGAAGCTGAATGAAGAAGCATGAAGATTAGTCTTTATGAATTCAAGCAAATATATGAGTTAGAAATTAGAGTAAGACTTCTGTCACTGTTACACATTACACATTTTGCCCACAGGGATGTAAACTCACATTTTCTTGTGGAGGTCAATAGAAGAACTGAGTACATTCAGTCACAGTGCACCAGCTGCTGCTCTCCACTGAGTAGAGGTAGCATAATGTACTGTGTTGGTACTTTAATATGCTTTCTGATACTGAATCCATATGCAGCAACACATATACAAACTGTTAAAAGCTTGAACTATTTGACAAATTTGTTTGTGACAAATCAGATCGGAACAACAGAAATTAGGTAATTATAGTATTTAAGTTCATGCAAGTTTATTGTGTCATTAAGCATAATAATCACGTGACAAAGACAGACTTTAGTGAGTCCAGCGGTCACCGATAGACAGAGGTGCAGCCACAAATTAGACAGCTCTGACCTTTCACATCATCAAAATATGATATGAAAACCACTTGGGTGACGGCATTCATAGTGCACTATATAGAAACTGTCCCTTCAGCAGCTCAAAACCACAGAACCACAAAACGACGAGAGGAGCGCAATGCAATATCCCTACAATAAGGTAGTATTTTTCAGTATAAGTTTCCCAAACTGATTAAGATTAAATGGTGGGATTTCAGCTTCTCTATCAGAGCCCTGGAGTTGCTTTTTCTATGAATGTGTATTTTTCCTGGCGTTTTGCTGCCATGTGTTCTATCTCTAGGCTATTTTAAAAACACCAAAAAACTCCCGGATTTAATTTGGGTTTTTCCCAAGAGTCTCCCAGGCAGTCCTTGAGGGGTGGCAATCCTAGTCAAAAGTCAAGCTATGTCAGGCCATTTGCAGCCTACTGTACTTAGAAGAAATACTTCATGCCAGTCTCACAATGGTATATAACAGCGACTCTTGGAAACAGTTCTGTCCAATTTATTTTTGGGCTTCAACAGCATTTTACTGAATATGAATCCAATTTGATTCAAACTGAATCCCTTATCCAATGTAATAAGCTTTGCACTGAACATTTGCACTGAAGAAATTTGTGGCAGTACCTTTAAACCTTATTTTTCATGTGCTACTTGTTCCAAATACTTTGGGTACTGATGTGATATTTACAAAAGTTCCACTAGGCAATATTCCTGAAACAGACCTGACATGAGCAGTCAGATAACATCTCTAGAGTCAGGGTTGCCAGTCGTGCTGCGCCGCAAAGACACACAGACCACTCACAATTGCACAGTAGTGTTACAAAGTGATACTACTTTCCCTCGGAAATAATCTTTGGTGACCAGGTTGAGTCTTTACTCGACCAAAAGTTTAATTTTAGCCATTATGAAATTAACGTTTGTCATTTTAACCAACAAAAGCGATGGCTGGCATCAGAGCATGGATTTTCTCAACTGATAAGATCTATGTTAGTAATGGTTAGCAAAGCCTAGCCCAGTTGTACCTACTGAACGTCCTTATTCTCCTACTGGCATGTCCATTTTTCATTATGTACAAAATTCATGGCTTTACACTAGGTTTCGGCTACACCAATATTATTCTGGGTAAAAACCGTAACTCCTTCTGATTTTGAAAATCATCTACTTGAACATTATACACTGGGTACATGTTGTCAACTTCAGCCTAAGATGTCATCCTACCAGCCTCCAGAGGCTGTATCATCGATATTCATTTATACTGCTGGATGTGAATAAACAGGTCTATATTTGGCCAACAATGAGAACATATGAAAGAGACACAAAGGGCAGGGTCTTAATTCAGTTCTGGACACGAGGAAGCAGAATGGCGCACATCAGTCTGTCTACGAGGAGCATAACCCATTGGTAGAGAAAAATACACTTAACAATACAACAATACACGCTACATTAGATTTCCATCTAAAATTTGAATGTTAGGAAAACAAATCAAGCTGTCTGTATTGTGTTTTATTTTTCTACCATAATGTCTTTTGTGTATCTATGGGAAAACACTGACAAATATCCACAGCTTAAAAGGGCATCTAGATGTGTACAGCACCCAAATAATAAAGAGGAAGGCTCAGTATCTGAAAATACCATCCACCAAGGACTAAATGACATTACCTTTACTTTTGATAGATAAGCAGAGATAACCTTCATGAATACAAAATAAAAACAACTTAGAGGATAAACACTCATGTCCACCTCTCAGTTTCTCATCCAAAGCGCATTATTTTTAGGATTTTCTTTCTTCATACAACAGGACAAACAGACACAAGGATACTCTCTCTCACACAACCCTTTAAACTTACCAAGGATTATCAAAAAACTAACAGACAAGCTATGTGGTGTGGTTTTACACTGAATGGAGCATTGGAAGACTCCTATTGAGGGAACAGGAAGCAAAGACAGAGGGGTCTTAAAGTGGAGGATATGACTCAACTCATATTCATTCACTACTAGATTAATAGATCCACTGCTTATGAAAAGTATTCAGCCTCATCTGCCTGTTTTTGTGCTTTATTTTTTTGCACAGTTCCACAGCCAGGACAAGGTGTTCCAAAGAGTTTCAGGTGCAGCTGTGCAATATACTGCAATAACTGGAGAAAAGTCTTTGGTGATGTCTGCCAGTCTACAGGCACTCTCCCATGGTGCCTTGCGACTGTAGAGCTGTCTCTGTTCATCGGCGCCCACTGTCTGGGGCTTGGGTAAAGCGCCGCCTTGAAGAAATGGTCCACTCAGACTGTTTCCGTGAGGACTGGGGTGAGACCTACAATATTCACTTCCAGTCTTGAACTGACCCCATGACATTCACTTAGCAGAGTTCAATCCAATGTGTAAAATAAAGTGTCTCTCCAGTCTCAGTGGTCAGACAGAGCAAAACTGCCTCCCATTCATGTCTATGGGGAATGGGACGAGGCAAATTCATTTCTGGTAATGAACTGACCCTGTTTAAGTGTGAAGTGTCTTAAAAGTGCTCCATTTACTGCTCAACTATAACCCCAGTGAAGATTAGCAGCTCTCCTCCCCTACCGAAAACAGCCTGAGTAAGACCCTGTCTTCCCTTTCTGAGTTGCGCAGCACCTACTATCAACCCCCCTTAGGCCTGGTTCCAGGTTTATCTCAGTCCCTATAGTGCACAAGGTGTCACTTTCCTTATGTTTTTGATTTAATGTATAAGGCTTGAATCACTCTGGGCCTGACTCATTTCCTAGGAGCAATTTGTTTCGAGAGACCCGACGAGGAGAAACTGACACTGGCAACACCGACTAAGGTCAGATTGACATTCAGAAAAGTGGCAACTTATAGGGAGGCTCAGTTGCTAAGTGTCAAAAAGTCCTACACATCTTCTGATTCAATTATTTAAAAAACATGAAAATATCCAACCCTGAAAGGCAACTGAAAAAGTTTTCTGTGCAGTGAATAGAGCCAGGGTCCTTTCATTATTACTAGGTCTTTTTGTCCAAGTCAGATTTTTCCAATTCATACACTAGAAGAATGAATGTGAACACACAGGGGACTAAAGAAAGAAGACTGCAGATGAAATCAAAGGTTTGTGTCACCTTGTTCACCTCATTCAGAAGCAGTATTAAAAAAAAAAAAAAAAAAAAAACCTGAAGCATTGCTCTAATGTACTGTGATGTGTCCTGTGTCACATCTGTTTTGTCTCTAGCCATTACTAAAACCAAAGATCAAGTCAGAAACAACAACTACGCACTTGCGAACCTTTTTTCATTCTTGATGATCCAGGCACTGGCCTCGGGGTCTACAGATGTGAACAGCTGGCCCTCCAGCAGGGGGGGGAACCCTTGAACTCCAATGCTGATGTTGTCTGCTGTCAGTCTGAACCACACCTCCTCTTTGGTGACACCCTCAGGCATGCGCACACACACAGTGAGGTCCTCCGCTGTCTGCTGCCAGAAGTAAATGGGATCTGAATCCAAACAGGAGAAAAGTACAGAGCTGCAGTTAATGACAGGCCTGTTCCAGATGTTAAGGAGTCATACACAATCAACTAATACAGAAACCAAGGTGAATTACTCTTGAACATTCAGTGACACTGTGGAAACGAGAGTTTTAAAATAAATCATCTTAAAGGTAAGCAGAAGGACCATTTGTACCGATTTTGTGATGTGTTTACTTATTTACAGTACTAAAGCAAATATTCTTACTTGTATTATTTTTAAATTAAGGTTAACACAAAGGACTCAAATTTAAACTCACGAGAAAATGTGAGTTTCAGGTTTTTTGTCATTAAATTGATTATTTTTGGAACTTAAGACCGCTGATTGCACTAAACAAACTATAGGAAATTGTGGCCGGCACCTTTTTCTATTGTCTAACATTTGACAGACTAAACAATTAATCTAACAATTGATAATATACTCTAGGATTAATTTAAAAAAAAAATTGTCACATGCCTGTTGAGATCAGGTTTTATTTGCTGAGCCTTTAGATGACTGATAACATAAATATGATTGAAATCCTCAGGGCATTGGTACATAAACACAGGGGCTGAGCAGGTTTACAGAATGGAAGAAATTCACACAGTGATAGCAACTGAAATGTTCACAATGACTTCTGTTTGAAAGAAACCAGATCATGGAGGAAACACTAAATAACAGTGATGTTTCTGCCTCTTTCAGTCACAAAGCATTCGATAGGCATTTAAAGCTAAATATGTGTCTATATTCAAACTAGTTACAACAAAGGCCTGATTTTTTTTTGTCACATCTGCTGGAGATGAATCTGAGAGGAGATGTGTTTTAGTCCCGTCTAGTGAGAATGACACCTTAAAAGCCTGTTAACAAGTGCAACGTTAGGCCATCAGTCAAGGAATCCGTTAGCAGTTGTTGGCGTGGACTTGGGCCAGGGGCTGACTTTTTAAAAGGATATCTCTACGACGGCTTGATGGATAGATAGATGGAGTACTTAATCTCCACAGGGAAATTAAACTGCAGTCACTGTACAAATCAACAGAACAAGAAACAACAAAAATCAAACAGCTAATACTAAGTTATATGCAGAATAAGTAAAAAAATAAATTAAGAACTATATAAAATATGAATGGAAGGTCCAGAGAGCTGTATTCCTAAATAAATTCCATGGCTGTCTACTATTACTATATCTGTAATTTAATACAGATTAAAATTTCTGTTCCTAAAAGAGTGCAGCCTTGAAGAAGCCACTCGTTGAGCGACTTCTAGCTGCAAAAGTAATAACTATAAAAACCTTCTACAGCGTAATGAGTGTATTACAACACAGCACTGATTACGTCAGGTACTGGCTCTCAATTATTCACAATCATGATGGCTCCATTTCTGCTCCGTCTTAACAGGAAACAAATGTTCTCACCATTGCCCACATTGTTAGGAAGCCAGGTCTCTGCTGCCTCTGACTCAGCACCTCAGCTGCTTGTTAACATTTTCTGATCCTCCATCAAATTCTTTTTTTTTTAGTGAAGGACAACACCTGTGCTGTGTGGTACTGCAGGCCATAATGAAACAAAAATCTGGCCAGCGACAGTGAGATCAGATGTACAAGCAGCGGAAGTCAGTGGGCCATGTTTGTTAAAAGCTTCGATGGAAAATGTATGAACAGCAGGCCTTGTGTCCTCGTGTCCAACTTCTGTCTAACAGTGCACAGATGCTTGAGAAAATGACTTGGCCTGCCAAGTACATAATCATACATGGAACAAACAATCCCATCAGAAATCTGACTGGGAACAATTTTGCAGTCTTGTGCTTGAATCACATTCAAGAACAAGTCAGAGGTTGTTCACCTTAAATAAAGCTCCTCTGAATCCTGCTTTGATCAACAAAGCCCTTCACATCTGCTGCTGACCAGAAGGGAGATTTGGATATTATTTTCTTTCAGGCTACAGTTTTTCCCATTTTTCTGAGTTCTTCCTCAGGTGAAAGGTTTCCTCCTTCCTGTAATGCACCTGCCAGGTGTTTAAAAAGGAGTAAAATATAGTGACCCATCACTCAACGGTTCAGCTCCTTTAAATGACAGGAAAAACAAAAAATGAATCCAACTTTGTTTTATAAATATTTTCTAAGCAACATGTGGTTTAGCTACAAAGAACAGGGGATTATAATTTTCAGATTCACGTCCTTAACCTGCCAGACAGGAGCTATAAGAGATCATGTTCAACCCATTTACGATCTTCTTTACAAGTAGGCACTGTTGTAATAAATTGACTAAGTATCAACATAATTACTAGTGGTGGAAGTAACCAAATATATTTACTCAAGAATTGCATTTAAATGCATTTTGAGGTAGTCAAAGTATAGTACTTTGTGTGCACTACATGTACATTTACACCAATTAGCCACAACATTATGACCATTGACAGGTGAAGTGAACAACACTAATTATCTCAATGCAATAGCATCTAGCGCCTGTGTGTGTAGGGCATACTACTCAAATAAACAGTCAGTCCTCAAAGTTGATGTGTTGGAAGCAGATAAAATTGCCAGTGTAAGGGCGTCATATTTCACAAATAAAGCAAACTGATGTGAAAAGAAACAAAAATGTCTACAAATCGGTGTAGCACAACTTTCTTGTCTTTACTTCTTTCCGCCCATCGTCTCAGAACCACACCTACCTGTACAGTGACTGTATATGAAGTTAAGAGAGAGAACTGTTTGCCAGAACTGTCATTTATAGCATTATGTGATTACTGGCAAAGCCTGCCCCAAACCAGCAGACCTTCTCCATATCTGGCAGGGATGTGAGCAGCAGAGACATGTTCGTTATCACCTTTTGTTGTCGACTAAATCAACAATGAACCTAATGAGAAGGAGAGAGTGGGCTGCCAAATCTCTCATTTCATTCCCCAGTGTTCTTCTTCACTCTCCAGTGTTCATCTCTTTTGCTCTTCTCTATTTGAACTTCTTTGTTGGGCTAATTGCTGAAGAGACACACGTACTGCCAAACCTACAGTACATGTACAGCACATGTGAAAACTATTCCCTCACACATTCTAGCATTTATTTCTTTAGAAATCAAGTGTTTTTGGTTTCCTGTGGTGATCTATTTCAGATACCTCTTCTCCGTCAGCGAGGCATGAAGTCACCTCCACCCCCGCCCTCTGTGCATTTCCTCTCCTCATCACTTACAAGCCTCTCTGAAGATGCCTCTTGTCTTGACATCTAATCCACTTCTTCCTCTGAGAGGAGCAAGGCAGAGTGCTGATAAAAGGATTGGCTAAAAAGCTGCCATTATTCTGCTTCTGCACCATCAACACACACATACACACACACACACCTACCTTGCGGTGACTAGAGGGTTTATATATCTTTTGAAAAGGAGAGTTGCTTGCTTGTTTAGAGATGGCGAGTATAAATTAATGCAAAATCAGGAAAAGGTATATAACCAGTTATAATTAGACAGAAACGTTCAGCACAGTTCAGGTACTGGATGTTTTATGAAATTAAAGAAAGGTTCTGGTGGTGAGAGATCCACCGCAATGACATGGTTGCAGATTTTGGGCATGTGAAATACAAAAAAAAAAAAAAAGGCCAAGGTAATTACTGCTGGAAGAATCAGTCAGTTAAAGGAATACTGCCACATTTTGGGAATTATCCCAAGAGTCAAATGACAAGATTGATACCACTCTCATCGCTGTCTGTTAAATATGAAGCTACAGCCAGGGGATGGTTAGCTTAACTTACTATAAAATAAAAAAGGTGGGGCAACAGCTGGCCTGGCTCTGGCATTAACATGAGTTGTCTTGTTTGTTTAATCTTTGAGCTTTAAAGATGTTGGGGGACAGATTTTTTTTTTTTGTTGTACCCGTGGAAAGAGCTATGCCGGTTGTTTCCCTGTTCCAGACTTTATGCTAAACTAAGCTAATCCCCTAACTTTGCCTTAATAATTACTTTGTAAAAAAAAAAAAAAAAAAAAAAAGTATTTTGCAAATGTTGAATTATTTCTTTAATTGGTTAGAAACAAATTGGCAGTTTCAATAATTAGTCTTCAAAATGTCAGCGTCTGTCTCTTTAGCGTTGTTTTTCTGGTGTTCAAATAATCAATCTGAAGACAGCACAGACAACTAATTGTCGTTAACTAGCCACATTAATCAAATATTTTGAAAAATATATAATTGCAGGCCAAAACCAAGCCATCTCAGATTCTCATTCTTCCATTAACTAAACAGATGTTTTGATCCATCACTGCCAGTAAAGGAAGAAACAGATACTGCTAATAAATGGTCAATAACATACTGTATCTCAGACACAGATGACCGGATCTGGTATCCAACCCGGTCTCAATGTTCTACTGCCCACTCAGCCGTTTGTATGACTCCAACCCAACTGGCCATTTTGTGCCTTCAACTCCAAATTCTTAAAGGTAATGAGTTTAAGAAGTGACTGTTGTTTAATCCTAACATGTTTAATCCTAACTGAAAACAGTCTCATTCCAGAAATGCCAAACAACAAATGATGTGGTGATCCCACTCTCATGGAGCAAGCCCGCACAATGTTTGTATTTCACATTGTTTCAACAGTTTTACAGACACGCTTGCTCGTTCTCGGGCCACTTTCACACTGTGATCTCAACATGGAAGACAAATAAAAACAGCACTTTCTCACTATAAATATGATCTCAGTGTTAAACCACGTCAACACCTCTTGTGTTTTCTCAAAGTCTGAAGCATGAGTAATGCTGTCAATTCTTCTAAAGTGACATTACGACGCTTCCTGAATCAGCACTTGGCACAAACTCATTGGACAGAAAACTAGGGTCTAAAAAATAATAGTGGTACTGATGTGATGATCAAAGTTAAAAATATCAGCACTATAATAATATACACTGGCATGCACAGTACTGTGTGTACATGGGTTCTTAACTCAAGAGGGCAAGTGTGCCAATAAGTGGTGAATTTTTATAATATCTTCTTCTTCTTCTTCTTCTTCTTCTTTCGGCTGTTCCCGTTAGAGGTTGCCACAGCGAATCATCTGTTTCCACCTAACTCTATCCTCGCATCCTCTACTCTCACCCCAATTAACTTCATGTCCTCTTTTAGCA